TACACCCGTGGTGTAGCTGGGATGGTCCTGCTGTAGCGTGGTAATGTTACACACGTGGTGTAGCTGGGATGGTCCTACTGCACCGTGGGAATGTTACACACGTGGTGTAGCTGGATGGTCCTACTGTAGCGTGGTAATGTTACACACGTGGTGTAGCTGGGATGGTCCTGCTGTAGCGTGGTAATGTTACACACGTGGTGTAGCTGGGATGGTCCTACTGTAGCGTGGTAATGTTACACACGTGGTGTAGCTGCGATGGTCCTGCTGTAGCGTGGTAATGTTACACACGTGGTGTAGCTGGGATGATCCTACTGTAGTGTGGTAATGTTACACACGTGGTGTAGCTGCATGTCCAGTGGGGGTATGATACTACTGGGGTGTTATCGACTTCTCCATGTGTTCCAGAATCACTGTATACTATAGGGTCTTTAGCAGGTCTACAGATGTCCGCGTACTGCTCTCCACACAAGAATTACTCTATATTGTCATTTTTTAGCAGGTCTACAGATGTCCGCATGCTCTCCATACAAAAATCGCTCTATACTGTAGTGTATTTAGCAGGTCCACACATGTCCGTGTGCTCTTAACACAATAATCGCTCTATACTAATTACTGTTGTATCAGGCAGGTATACAGATGTGTGTGTGTTTTCCACACAATAATTATGCTTATTGTGGATGCGTAAATCAACGGTCACATCTTCGTCGATGCTGGTGTTGTTGTCTCAACGTGCCTCTGTGTGTCGCGAGTGGCAGTTCACTTGCTGATAATTTGTGTGGTCATTTGGCTTCCTCCGTGCTCTCCTGTTCGAACCGTTGCCAGATAAACAGTAGATTGACTGGAAATCGAACATTGGATGCTATCATGCGCATGGCTTATTTCCAATATTTGCTCGATGCCTGCATGTGGATTTGTCAGACATTGTACATATACGGCTGCATTATCCTCTCTGTGGACTGAAAGCCGATACGAGTAACTATAACTAGGTATGCATGTATGGTCTTGCGTTTTTACAGATTGATATGGTGGTGAAGCAGCTGGAACGACGACCGGATTTACAACATGTGGTATGTGCCATGACTGCGTAATAAACACGAAACATCAAAATACTCTGCATTATGAAAATTAGGCGAGCCTTTGATTAGTCCAAATTAGTCTCGATCATTCTCAAACCTTCTTTGGTAAAATTCGTTTGGTTTAGTTTCCCTCTAAAGTTGAGATTGGCTTCAGTTATCTGTGCTATTATGCCTTCTAAATCGTCAACAAGAAGAGAACCAGTCTGTAAAGTATGTACAGTCTACATATGATATGTAAATAGCTACGTATGTGAATAACTCGTTCACCGTATGTTGTCAGACTGCCTATGCCGTGAAAAAGATATCGCTTATACCATTGTTTACCCACAATATTGTTTCTTTCTGCAGTATTTGGACAAGTTGTTTCAGAAGGACCCTCATGCTGGGCAGCAGTACCATGGGTTGCAGGTGCGTGTACCCGCCACTGACTGCTCATATAAACCTGCTCGTTTTGACAGCAGAATATTCTAAACTAATCAACTAAGTACAGGAAATGTTGTATATAGATGAGTCAGAATGGGAGATGAAATTAACATTATGCGAATTCGAAATTCTTAATGGTCTCTGTAAGTTTGTATAGTATCTCTCTATATATTTGGTGCATTAATTGAATCTTGGTACTGTTTTCGTGATAAGTTAGTGCCATTAGTTTTAACGTTAACTAACACATAAATCAATTAAATTATGCATTTACTATATATATAGAGAGAGAGAGGGGGGGATGAGATCATGAGAGAAAGAGAGGGAGAGAGAGAGAGAGAGAGGTGGATAGACAGATGGATGAATGGATTCATAGATATTGCACTATAATTACGTTTGTAATTTAATGAGTTCACGAGATGCGTAAACTTTGTTGAAATTTATTATTTAGCATTTTTAACTTGTTTAACGTTTGTCAAGGATCAACCATCATTTATTAATTACGGTGGCATATTTTAGCTGTCCGATAGGTAATAGGTTTTTAATTTATTTTTAATAATAATGATTACTATCTGCTTGCATTTTCCAGGTCAGCTTGTATGCCCAGTATAATCCAGAGAAGCTACTCTCCTTTTTAAAGAGTAGTAGCTACTATCCCCTACAGAGGGCACTGGAGGAGTGTCAGAAGAGGAAATTTATTCCTGAGACTGTTTTCCTACTTGGTAAATAAAATCACTTTCGTAGAGGAGAACTCACTTGCTCTTTGATACTAATTAAATATTGACAGAGAAGGCTCTAAAGGGTTATGATATATTATTATAATTATTTTTATATGATTTACAGTTCTAATAGGGCAACAGAATTGTTTGTCTTGCAGTATTTATTTAGAGAGTACGGTAGCCTGCATGTTAATGACCAGGTGACTTTTTTGCAAAGAATGCGACGTTTTTAGCTCGCCTTGACATTGTCAAGATGAGCTATTGCCATGGGGTGTCGTACGTCGTATGTCCGTCCGTCTGTCCGTCCGTCCATCCATCCGTCAACATTTGGCTACGGTCAACGATAACTCAAGAACCGTTTGACCCACATGTTTCAAATTGCATGCAGTTGTTACTCCTATGGGAGAGGTTTGAACGTCCTATTTTGGAGCACGCCAGCCGACCTACTTTTGAATCACGTCCACTTTTTGGCAAAAATGGAAATGGCCATAAGTCAGTTCAGGTTCAACGGATTTTGCTCATTTCTAGTATATGAATGACTAAGGACTGGCCCCATAACATATCTCACGGGTTTTTATTTTTTTTTTTTATTATGCAAATTAGGTAGATTTTGGCAATTTCACTATGCATTTCAGTGTCTGCCTATGGTCAACGATAACTCAAGTACCGTTTGACCCACATGTTTCAAATTGAATACAGTTGTTACTCCTATGGGAGAGATTTGAACTTCCTATTTTGGAGCACACCAGTCGACCTACTTTCGAGCCACGCCCACTTTTTGGCCAAAAATGAAATGGCCATCTAAATTCATTCGATTTTGTTAAATTTGTATGCTGAATGTGTAAGGCTAGCCCTATAATGTGATAGTGTGATGCTTATTAAATGACAACACAAGGAGCGGTATACCGTTACTACAAGTGCAAGTATATTCAAGGCAAACTGGGGTACATGCTGGCTCGCGAACTGCTCGCAAGTAACTCTCTAAAACAAGGCCCCCAGTTAGGTGGCGCCATCTGGCGAATACAAACGAGATCAATCGATTACTGTGACATATAAACCAGTTTGTTACTTCTATGGGAGATTATGACAACGTCCTATTATGTTTATTTTGTCTAACTGGTCAACAACTCTACAATCATACCTATATACGTGTATTATTGTGTTTTAGATTCTTCGTTACAGTAAATTTTACTGGAATATTTTATTGTTTTTTATTTGCGCGATATTCGAAAACCAAAATGGCGATCATTTAGGTGTAGCCGCCATCTCTCGTCAAGATCTCAGACTTTCAGATCATGAAACATTTATTTTCGCATCAAAACTTATTGCATATATGCATTATCAAGAGTATATAATGGGAGATATGCTATATAATGGAGTTCTCCCATATATACTCTTGCTTTATATATCCCCCTCCCTCTTCATCACACCAAGGTGAGCTACAGTGTCATTGACACTTTCATTAAGTGCTTTAACATTGGAATTTCTGGGAACATAAATTATTCCCCTTTAATCAGATAAAAAAGCAGTAGAATTGCTCACAAATTAAGTTAACTAAAACATAGGTACATCCTACCTTATTTTGACTTGCAAATTTACGTGACACACCACAAAGTAGCTTACTAGATAGTAGGGCCTATAGCAAATCTCTGAAATTCTGACGATAATCACTGAAAATTCTATTATAGTCATCCTTCATTTTTGGAAAATATTCGTTTACTGGAGAACAATTTTTGGTATTGATTCTAAGATCGATCACTCGTAAAAATATTAGTTGCAAGGCAGAGGACCATGCATTGACGTCATGTTGTTTTGCATCTCAGGTCGCATAGGTAACACGAAGGAGGCTCTGTCCCTCATAACGCAACAGCTGAGAGACGTGGATCGCGCAATCGAATTCTGCAAGAACATGATGACCGTGAGCTGTGGAAGACCTGATCAACACAGTCTCTTGACAAGCAGGTGTGATATATACCTACGTATACCTGATCACCCACAGTTTCTTGACAGCCAGGTGTGATATATACCTGTTGTTATACCTGATCACCTGGTCGTTTGACAAGCTAGGTGAAATATTCCTGTTAATTGCATGGTTGCCCAATCTATGGAAAGGACAAGTAAAATTTGCTATTAAAATCTCTGGATAAAACAGGTGAGATTCTCCTGTAAATTTCGTGATAAACCAGTCACTAAGCTCGGTATATAAATACCACTAAATATTGTACATACAGGCGCTTGAAATGTACTTAAAATATATGTTTCTTTTTCCTAAAATGTTCCTTCCACGAACAGTCACCTGGATAAATAGTATCGTCGTCATTCAAGTGTGTTAAACAGGGTCGGCGGATCCCTAAGGCTATGGCGCCGCTGTTCAAATATGCCCTTTAGAAACTAATGCACTGCGCAGGACAAAAACGCTGAAAGCGTATATTGTCGCCCCGGATCTCATCGCCTGCGTGGCTTGTTTACACTTAGCTCTACCTACGTAGCCATGGGCTCTGCCAGAATTCTCTGGTGCAGCCTAGGGCGGCATGAGTGGAACTAGACACAAGTTCCCTTCTCGCTTAACACTACGTTGGCGAGAGGTTCCTACGCCGTGTAACAGTCGAGAGCCTGGTCGGTTTAGGGTGAACTAGCATAATCTTGGCCACGCATGGTTCACTCAGCCACGTGTGACTTGTAGCATGATGAGGCAATGTGGCAAGCCTGGCAGCAATCCACGCCCGACGTGGTTATGCGTCCACGAAATCATTCTGCAGGGGTCAAGTATGGGTAGCAGCGCACATGCAGATATTGGGTCCTCTGCTAAACGGGCTTTCGCTGCGCTGTTGGGTGTCCTGCACGCATAATCAATCATAGTCAGTATGTGCATGATACGCACATTGCTCTACCTGTAACATACATCAAGTCTAATAAACACCTTTTAAGGTAAAGTAATAAACACTAATAATGATACCATACTACACATAGGCCTACCACTCTGTATGTGTACACGCCGCACGTTCTTCTTAATGCCTAAATTTATTTTGCATATTCCAGTGTTTTTATGTTAGCACTCCTGTCTGACTTTGTTTAGACTGTTTGACATTCATGACAAAATTAATGGGCAAAAGAACCACCGAGTGAGGGGAACGATGTCACAGTGTAGGTTATGTTCTTGTGTATGTTTCTTGCCCAACGGCCTGCAATGGTGTATTTATGTTGTTAACAAACATATTCACTTTTCTTTGTAATTTTTGTATGATTAACCTTGCAGTCAATGGCCACCGCCACCAGTCGATGCGTAACATTGTTTCTAATCATGAGCATTCGTGTAGTAAATTACCCACTTGTGGATATAGCACGTGCATTATCCAAATTATGCCATTGCCTTCACAATGGCGATCCTATGTATTCAAATCTATTCATTTCAACCATACATGCAAAGTGTCTATCAAGTTATCAACAACGCTGTATTCTCCCCTTGTATACTCTGTTGACCCCATGTGGGTTTAAACATTTTTTATCAGGCAGTTTATGACACCAGCAGATTTGTACACGCACGCACGCATGCAGGCACGGATGCATACACACACACACAAGCGCACGCACGCACGCACGCACGCGCATGCATGTATTGTATAAATTAAAAGTAAAACACATGGCTACCATGCAGATATAGATGAAAATATATGAATATAAACAAATAGAATGAAGTGTCATTTCTTGTTTTGCAAGCTTTCGAGAACATGTCTCTTTTTCAGGCTTCTGTTGTTCATTCTGTTGTTGTGAAGCCTCGCGTATGAGTCATATTTTTCGAAAGCAGGCAAAAATAAAAAGGACACCTCATTCTATTTTCTATTCATATACTTTCATATGTATATAGGTAGCCTAATAATCATGTAAAACCTGTAGGGTTAATGTGCCAGGAGCTATTATACTGATGGGATGATACTAGGGTTGATCTAACGTGAGGGTTAGTAGACAGGATGTGTAATTACAGCCCTAATGGTGAGTATATATTGTCGCGTCATTAGGCAGCACTCTGTAGGAATTTAATTATGCCTGTGTAATGTATACTCTTTTCCATAACGTACACAATGAAGTGTGAGCTCTTTGGGGATTCGATTTTGCGTGCATGCACCAATCTGTCTGTCAATCACCATATACGTATTAATGTTACAGTTACAGGTGATATACGTATAATCTAACGTACTAGGCCCGTTGTCAGAAACATAAATTAATTATTACCATTTATAAATATAAAATGTTTCCACAACTTTCGTGTGCATTTCACTTCAAAAATAATATCATAACGACCTTTGATAATATATTATACGTAAATATACGTACTATATATTATACGTATTGACAATGTTCCCCCTGGTCTGTAATGCAATATTAATGTAATGTCATACCTCAACCTCACGTGCAGAATTTATCACTGTCATGTTGATATTACTGTTACATGTCTCAAAATGTAGTTTAATGTAATGTATTGTCATAATTCTGCTACGCAGTTCAATAATATGTCGTATATTTAATGTTGTATTTTAATCTGCCATGCAAAGGTTTTATCACTTTCCCATTGACGTTACTGTCTAATTAAATTGACTACGTCAACGAATTTTCCATGGTAAAATTTGTAAAAAAAATTGCCATTTTTTTACATATAAAAGTAAGAACTAACGTTATTAATACTATATCTTCAAACTCTCACCTGATAAAAATGTTTTTTAGCGTTGTTAAATTTGCAAAAACTTAGACGATTTGGTAATTTCTGTTGTCTAACACTATTCCCCAGTACTGTTCAGATACTGGCGTCTCTCTGTTTTTCACGGCAAATTAGGGCATATAAAGAAGGTATATAAGCATGAAAAGTAAACAGAAACACTAATGTATTTTCTTACGTTTTATTATGTACAAATAACACACAAATATACTACTAGAAATTCGTGACGTAATCACTTTAAATGTCGTTTGGCCAATTTGCCTGCACAGATTTTATCACGGTGCTATCTGAC